TTTTTAATCAAAAAAACACATAAGAGCCTTCTCTCCACATATTTTCCCCCACACGGGCTACATCTTACAATGGTAAATTAAAGCCACGTAGGAAAAAAAGAGAGATGGCCTCATGGCGACAGAGAAACAAGGGTGATAAGTGTGCACCATTTCCCAAAAGTATCTGTCCATCCCCCTCCTTCTTTCCTTTCTTCTCTTATTTTTCTACTTTTCCTTCCTTCCTTCCTTCCTTCCTTCCTTCCTTCCTTCCTTCCTTCCTTCCTCCCTCTCCCCCTCCCTCCCCCTCTCTCAATCTTTGTTTTTATTTTGTGATGTTTCTTTAATGGTTTAATTATGCAAGCCAACATGTCGAAGACAATTTTGTCAGGTGCAGAGTCCCCGTACGGCACGGTGGCACCAGCCATCCTCCGTACTCTGACGTGAAAAGCCCAGTCAATGAGTCCGGCTTTCAGAACAGCTCAGGTTCGCATACACTGTACTTTCAAAACTGTACGAATGTGCTCTGTGTTATCTCTGTTCACTCTCTAGTCACTTTTTCTTTTAAAACTCTAATTATTTTCCCCGTTGTTTCTCTTGTGTTCTTATAATAATTGGTGCTCCCTCTGGTAGCTAAAATTACACCTGTAACTGTCCAAAACCATTAGTAAAGTCAGCTTCGCCCGGGGGATAGAGTGTCTGTCTTGTATTTCAGACAGATTGTGTTCCAACACCATTGTGGTCAGATTTTTATTAAAAATTCTTCATATTTCTTTTCTCTCGGTGCCAAAGAGATCGCTACATTTTCAACACTTAATCATCTTCATCATCTAAAAATATTTCCACATTAAAGGAAAATATTTAAACTTCTTTTTGATGCATCAAAACTTAGAACACTGCATGAAGCCTGGTTTTCATAAAGCCCTGCAGAAGGGTAGTGTGTGTGCATGTAGAAGTGGCTTTATAAATAATTGTCAAGGTCAGCTCCGGGGAGAGCTGGAATGATCATACAGGAATGCCTCTGCAGACAAGCTTACTCCCTTTCTCCGAGCTCCATCTTTGGAGAGTTCTTACCAACGATATGAAACTGGCTCCCCTTAAGAGAGATACTTTCGCCAGCATCAGGAGGTCTTTCACGGTGGGGGTGGGGAACTGGAAGAGAAGAGGATAGAGAGAAGGACGGACGAAGAAGGGGAGAAGTTGGAGGTGGGCAGGAGGAGGGAAGCCGCCAAGGCTACCCCTTTCTCAAATGACTGTTGGCAAAATCTTTAATTAGTTGCTGATCTAACAGAACCTGAGCAGAAAAGTCGAAACCTTGCTGGACGCGTAAGACAAAAGGAGCTCAGAGCAGAGAACGGATCCTGCCGGTACTGGGGGATCAGAAACCAACAAAAGGCACCCAGGAACCCAGAGGTGATCTACAGTGTGAAGTCATGAATGGCAGGGGCAGAGGTGAAGTCAGAGTCCACAGAGACACTTACTCAGCAGATGCCACCTGAGGCAGAAAGATAGGGGCTGGACAACATGTGCCTCCACCCACTGAGCCCACCCGCCAGCCTCTCAGGTAGGGTTTTGATGTACCTGTGTCCTAGAAAAATGTAAACAGCAGCTCTGTGCCTCGGTTCCCTCACCTGTAAAGCAGGTGTGCTAATAGAACCTTCCCTTAGGGACTGGAGAGATGTCAGTCAAGGCGGTATGTAGAATGCACTGCACAGCGCTTCTTCAGCATAGGAACGGATCAACACTAGCTAGTAAGATTGGTAGGATGCTGAGTAAAGACTCCCTCCCCCCACCCACCCCCACCCCGAGATGACCAAGCTCTAATTCCCAGAACATGCGGATGCAGCGACAGGACCTTTGCTGGTTCTGTTAAGGTTCCTGGGCTGGGAGATGACCATTGAATATTCTACTGTGTTTAATGTAAATTGGTAGTCCTTTTGAGATTGGGGGGGCGGATAGAGAGGAGATGGGGGGCAGACAAGAGTTCTGAATAGCAGGTATGTCCAGAGTACCAGCCAGTGCGCACAGGTGGTCTCTGTGTGCTGACAAAGCATGGGAGCCCTCCACCCCAAAGTGAGCAGAGCTCTGCGGGCCTCTTGGTCTCAGACATGTGTTCTTCAGGGCCGGAAGCAAATCAAATGGACATTGCTCCAAGCTGCTACACATGTAGCAGTAGGAAAGCGAGGCAGCTGGCTAGCCCAGAGGCTCTGGAAACACAATAAACAAAGGACAAATTAAGGACAGCAAAGAGAATTCATTCCGCAGAAGATCTCAGGCCACAAGGATCCCCCTATGTGCCAGTGCATTTGAGGGACGTGGATATTCTTAGATAGCAAAATTCAAGTATAAGGCATTTGGGGAGGAAATCTAACTTTGTTTCCTCCACAGATAATTTTAGGAATGGCTGTCTTGGCTCTTGTGGACATCTTCAGTGGAGAAGCACCAAGGAGATCTCTCTGGTGGCCTAGGGGGAGGAAGGACCGGACTGCAAAGCGTCTCATCACCTGTCTGGACCAGTTGTTTGTATATTTCATAGTAGGAGGTTAATACATGCTTAAAAGTTTGATTCTTCTCTTATGTTTCTTCTCTGAAAATGAAAGCTTCCTACCTTTATTTAGTATTCACCCGGCAATCCCAGGTTGCTGTAGACGGGATTCTGTCACTGTATTCACAAAGTCCTGACCTCACTCTAATTATCTGGCCATGACAGTAGAGCCCACATACCTCTGCGTTACAAAAAGATGGCGGTAGGTAGAGGAGAAGAAAGCAGTATGCTGTACCAGGTAAGGCCAGAATGATTAGGGACAACACCTGCGAACCAGGAACAAGGCCCTTACCAGAAACTGAATCGCCTGGTACCCTGGTCCCGGAGTCCTCAGCTGTTAGGACTGTGAGAAATGAATCCATTCCAGCCACACAGACTGCAGTAGACCATCACAGCATTTGGAGTTGAGACGCTCGAAGACCCTTGTGGGGCAAAGGGCCCTGGAGACAAATGAACAGCAAAGACCAGCGTGAGGTCCAGGGACCGTCACCCAGTGTGGTATGAACGGTGACATACAGAAGAACTCAAGGCTCACATACCCAATTCAAGATGGCAAAAAGTAAGTCTGAGTGGAAGAATTTTCTCCAGGGTATAATTTCTGTAAACAGAAATTAACCAAGTCAAAAATGCTGGCAATGCTGGAGAGAAAATATGCAAAGTAAGACAGTCTCAAAGGGTGTGATTTATTCAGGGACAACTTAGAGGAAGGAACACATCAGGACAGAGGGAAGAGAAAACGGAAAGCTGGCGAAGGGTCAGGTTATGAAAAGTCTCACATGCCACGTCATGGAGACCAGTGGGGTGGGAACAAAAGAGGTTGAGGAGTGTATGAATTTGTGTTTATCTTGGGTCTGAGTTTTCTCCCGTTAGTTGCAATGTGATATTCAACAAACTATTTAATTTTAGTTTCATGTCAATGAAATACAAATGGAAGCGAGGCATGTACTTCAGTGTTAGTGTGTTTGTCCAAAATGTAGGAGTCCCTAGGTTCAAAACCTAATACCATAAAAGGAAGGGTGGGGTGGAAGGGGGCAAGGGAGAGAGCCCAGTGACCATGGAGATATGTTTCTCCCCCTATCAGTAATGAAAGTGCAGACAGAGCAAAGAGATTGCCTACCCCGAATGCATTCAGTTAGCAAACATATCTGAGTGGAAGCCATCAACGCTGGCAAAGATGTGGAAAACCAGACACTTCCCAACATTATCAGGGTGCGTGCTGTGATTCAAACAGGAAATGTCCCTCACCTTGTAGGTTGAACTCTTTGGGTCCAGATGCCAGCACAGCACCATGCTGAGAGGAAAGTTTAGGCCGGAGGGCATCTCTGGAGACAGCAGGTCAGTGTCGCTGAAGATGACACCTCGTCCCTGGCCTCCTACTCTCTCCCTGCATCCTGTCTGCCTTGGGGTGAGTATTCTCTGCCACCTGTTCCAAACACTGTGGGGTTCTGTCTGATCACAGGCGCAGAACTGACAGAGCCAAGGACTATGGTCTGGAATCTCTGAAATCGTGAGCCGAAGCAAATCTTCCCTCCCTTGAGTTGCTTTATGGCTGGTACTTCGTCTCGCTGCGATGAGGTCTAGCCAACGCATGCTGCATTAATACAACTTACTGGAGTCAATGTCTAAATATTTCAAGTATTCCCCTAGTCGCCTGCTTCTTACACAGTCACCTCTGAAGGAACGACTTTGTAAATACATTCTCCTTCATTTGTTTTGATTGGAGTGTGCTGTCTCTGCCCCATTAGGATACTGAGGACATCAGCCCTCAGAGTGCTTGGCTATTATATAGGGTCCTAGTACATTTACATTCCTCCCCGCCTTCCCCTGAGGATTTTGTTAAAAATTGCTAGAAACTTCTATGTTTCCTTAAGGAAGAGAAGGTTTGACTTTTTTTTTTTTGATCTGATGACATGTGGAAAAGACTTCACCGTGGGAGAAAGAGGGTGACTTAACTGTGGGTCTTCTCCTGTAGCTCTTCAGGTTTCCTAGGATGTGCCGAGTGCCTGGTTATAGCATGGAGGAGTCAGGGTGTCTCCTGTTTTGCTACTTAAAAGAAGGGTAGATGAACTATACTCAGGTGAAAATGAGAATCCAGAGGAGTGGGGATGAGGAAGGGGCACAGGGGAGGAGGAGAGAGAGGAAGAGAAAACACAGAGTCCAGTCCGAAGGAGCGGAGAAGAGCTCACTTTCTGACTCTTGTCTTTCATTTCTTCATAAGAATAAAAGCTGAGAGAAGACAGTGGACAAAACCAAACAGACAGCAGCAAACACCCGGAATGGCTGTGAGGGAGTGAGGAGGGGGTGGCAGGCAGCCCTGGGGCCTCTACATGCAAACCTATGCAAGCGCACATGTTATCATACGCTAAAGGTGACTAAAACTCAGGATGCCTAATCTTGTCTCCAGAGGCTCACCATAAACTAAACATTTCCACGTGCCTCCAAGGATCTTAAACTCAAAATGTCACACTCTGATCTCAGTACATAATCCCCAAACTGGTTCACTACCTGTGTCCCCGATTTGGTCAACAACACTAACATCCTGCTCATTGATCGGGTTGGACACACGAGGCCTCTTTTGGATCTTCCACAGCTAGTCAGTCGCTAATCCATCATGCTTCTTCCTCCTAAACATCTTTTCAAATACTCTTTTCTCTCCATCTTTCCTTCCATACCTCAATTCTGGTCTCTGGAATCACTCCCCCAATCCTGCAGCCACCCCTGACCAAATGCCTTTTTATTCCCAGTCTGATGTCCACACTAACGTAAAAATGAGCCACCTGAAAGGCAAATGGATGTTTCACCAAAATGGTTCGCCGCTTGCCTTCTTCCTTAGCCTGAAGACCACCGCATAGCATCCAAGCTGCGTTGTCCGTCTCCAGCCTCACAGAGCAACCGGAGATGGCGGCTGCGCTACCTGGTGACTGTCTTTGAAGCCTGATTCTGCGCTTCTGAGATGTGTGGCTTTCCAAGCTTATCTTACCCCTCTCTGAAGCGAGGACAGCCATGCACCTGCTCCAGAGGGGTGTTGTGAGATGCGCGGCCTGTCGTGTGTGTGCTGTCGCAGTTCTGGCTTCGTTTTGTGCTGCCCTTTTCCCTTCTGCCCCAGCTCTCCTGGACTCATTGGGATTTTTCTCAGCTGACCCCTTGCGTAGGGTTTCTTCTACCTGCACACCTACCGCTACTTCTTAAACCTGACATCCTTCATTGGGAGTTTGTGTGGTTCTTATTCCATCTTAAGTTAATGGCTAGATGGTCCCCTTTCCTTCCCAGAACATACTATGCTCTTCCTTAACAATGCTGGAATGGATGCATGATATTTATGACACTTTGCAGAAATTACTCCCCCCCCACCCCCATGGAGTCTCCAAAGTGGTAGAAGTGGTGGTCGTTAGCACGCTTGTTGAACCCTGGCCTCCAGTAGAGAGAATGACACACGCTAAGATTGAATAAGTGTCTGTGATACCTGTGAAATCCTACATGAGCACTAACTTCTAAAATCTATGTATACATTCAGATGGATCTACCATGAATCCCCAAATATTATAAAGTCAAGCAACTTCCAATATAGATTTACTTGTGTGTGTTGGAGGGTGATTATGGATTCTGAGGCTCTTATATCATGTTGCAAAATGTTTCAAGTGAACTTTAAATCTCCTTGATCCAGTTGTTTAAGAGGTAATGTAAAAAAAACCAACCAAACAAACAAACAAGAAACAAGAGATCCAGTATTTTGGGGGTTACAAAAAGTTACCAGTTAAAAGAAAAGCCATAGGACACATCATCCTCTCTTCCTTTCCTCCTGTCTTTCTTTCTTTCATTCATTCTTTCTTTCATTCTCTCTTTCCTTTCTTCCTTCTCTCTCTTTTTCTTTCTTTCTTTCTTGCTTGCTTTTTTCTTTTCTTTCTTTTTTTAATTTTTCTGTCATACATACCTCCCGACAGCATTTTCCCCTCCCTCTGCTCCTTCCAGTCTCCTCTACCTCCCTTCTCCTCCCATCCTCTCCTTCTTCACTTCCCTTCAAAACAGAGAGCAGGCCTCCAGGGACATCAACTGAATATGACGTAACAAGTTACAATAAGAGCAGACACAAACCCTCATATCAAGGCTGGATGAGGCAACCTAGTAGGAGGAAAAGGGTCCCAAGAGCAGAGAAAAACAGACTCATCATCTTAATAGACTTCCAAGGAAAGAAAATGTCCCAGCGTGCCCATCTTTCAGGCACTTTCTTGGGACTCTTAATGATAGGACTTTTCGAGTAACAGCCACCTTAACTCTTGAAGGCAGCATGAACTCTCAGTAAGCTGTGTCAAAACACTGATCAGTTATGACCTAAACTTTCTAAAGCTAGACTTTTTGCTAAATATTTAAGAAGTGCTACAACAAACACTTGCACATCTAATCTGGGCCAATGCATGCTAATTACAAGAACTTTTAAAAAGAATGCCTGATCTAGCAATGTACTGATTCGCTATTGATCATTTTCCTCATTCTATCTAACAGGGAAAGGAGTGGGATCATTCACTTAGATGTTTAAAATAATAACAGGATCAAACCAATTTACAAGCTTGATTCTCAGGGAAACCGAAAACTCTGTATCTCTGTGAACTGTGCTTTTATTGTATTTCTTTTAGAAATGAGTTTTCTATTGTTTTAAAATTTTATATGTATGAGTGTGTGTGTGTGTGTGTGTGTGTGTGTGTGTGTAAATGTATGTGATGTGTACACATGAGTGCAGGTCCATGAAGAGGCCAGGGATATCAGATTCCCTGGAGGGGGAGCTCCAGGAAGTTGTGAGCGGCGCGTTGGCGCTAGGACTTGAACTTGGGGTATTCTGTAAGAGCAGCACGCACTCTTTAACGGCGGAGCCTGCTCGCCAGTCCTGTCTTTCTTTCATTACTCGAGTGAAATCCTCGTCACCAAAGGCTTCTTAAGATTTTCCTACTTTATTGGCTATTGCTCTCGCCGACATGCGTGTGCGCACCAGCCTTGCACGCACATGCTTGTCAACGTGTGGTCCGAGGACGGCCTTCAGGAGTCAGCTCGCTCCTTCCCTGGCAGGCCTCAGGGATCAGACTTGGATTATCAACTTTACACGGCGAGCTCCCTTACCACTGTGCCATCCTGCCAGCCCGCCAAATGCTGAGGTCTGCTCTAAGGCACTTTTTACTGAAGGGATACCCAGGGGACAAACACGTGGACGGACAGGTAAATGTCCTAATGAACTAGATCTGGCCCTCCACGGAAGCAATTTTACAAGTTCCCTGAGTGACAGCAAGGGTGACATTAGGTCATGGGTGACGTCGAAGGCCCACGGAGTAGGAACTCAGAGCCCAAAGCCCTGAAAATAGGGCTGTTGAATATTACACGCACAGCCACGCCTTGCTAAACTCATTTTTCAGGACAGAAAAGCAGATTGTGGAATTATTCACGCCGAAGTAATCCTCGCTTAATTTAATCGTCAAACTAGGTTTCCTAATATGGATATTTTCTTAGGCTTCAATTTGTTACATAGCTAACTTATTTTCTAATAGACTATGTTGGTAATAAGAAAATGAATTACATGCTCTTGGCAGAGAGATGACAAGTTAGATCTGAATTTATCCCACACAAACTTGGTACCCCCTTTTAAATTCAATAAGCTCAGATCCCTCTACAATATATCAGATCTGGATGCCAATTATAAACAGATGGCAAGCCTCCGCACCCCACTGCTCGGCAGAGACCGAAGGCCACGCTATACTTTTATCAGGAACTTTCTGGGGCATTATCAAAAGAACACATGGTCCAGTCCAGCTCATTCCGAGCTGAGACTGCTCGCCTTCCTATTTTGGGGTCTTCTAAAAGCATGCATCCAGTTGGCTTAGCAAGGCAGCACCAGACAGCAGCAAATTTAGTGTAGTGTTCCTCCCAGGAGGGGGCAGTGGCACTCCCTGGGACCAGCCCACATGTCCCAGAAGTCCTGCATGCTGAGCTGGAAAAACAATGGAAATGGGGCGCCTGCCTGGTGCTCCCAGACCTCTGGTCTGTCTTGACCCACCACCTCCAGACTCCAAGCAGGAGAACCAGAACACAGAAAAAGCAACCGCCACTGCGTCACCAGCTTTCCCACCACAGCAGGAGCCACCAGAAATAATAAGGCCTGTCTATGATAGGAAACCGAATTATTAAGAGCATTAAACGCTGAAAGATTGCCGCCCCCCCCCCTCTTCTCGCAGGCTGCGGATCGCTCGCCTCGCTTGTCAAACACGAGCTCATTTTTGACACTGATTTCTTAAATTTCCGCTGACTTGGCAATCCGCAGGCACTTCGCACAAGCTCCGTAATATCTTAAAGACTTCACAGCTAAGCAGTTAGAAAGGATTTGGGGTTTAATTCAGCCCACTGACCTGTTTAAGAGAATGACGGAAATAAAACAATTTTCAGCTAGAGGCCGAAGAAGGCCCCTTCTCGCTCTGAAAGCCTCTTTGTATCAACGCCATGAATCAAATGGTTTGTCTAAGTGGTTATTCTGTACCACCAGTGAGGGCGTAGCAATGTGGCCGTGAATCACATTTAATAACTTGTGGTTAGCTGTCATGAACACTTAATTTGATGTTGAACACAAACCCTGCAGGGCTGGAGGGGGCTGGGGAGCAGGGAGTGGGGGGCAGAGAGCTAAGATTCGCTTGGGGTCTTTTGGCTTCTCCTCCCCTTGGTGCGCCGAGCCACGTTCTGGCTGCACTCGGTCTGGCTTCCTCGTCAGAGCCCGGCTGGGGAAGCATTTGGATTCTTGGCTTCTATTGTCCCTTGGAGTTTTCCCGGGCCCTTCTGTCCTCATCAGGAAGGCTCACCCAGTGCCACAAGGAACGTTACAGCCCTTTGCAGTGTGCTAGAAGCAGAGAGCCGTCAGGCTGGCAAGAAGAATTCAAAGTGTCCAGGGAACCCACAAAAGATTTTTTTGCAGCCTTTTAGCTGTCTGGCATGCAGCAGAAACCCCTCTTGTGTCAACTGCTAAACACTGCTGTCCCTGTGTCCTGGATGGAATGCGCCAAACCCCTGGAAGACCACAGCTTCACATGTCGGCCATGTGTGCTGGCGGCAGCCGGCTCCAGCCGCCTCAGACGTTTTAATTTGTCACTCGGGAAAGCAGATGTGTCGGGGAGTTGGAGAACTTGGGAGGTGACCACAGCAAACTCCCCAAGGGGCCTACCCCACCAGGACCTCTGATGAGCCTTTTCCAGGCAGGCCTAGAACAGAGAGAGAAGAGAGGGTGGAGCCGTCCTAGCCCTGGACACACAGAGAGAGGAAGGCCGTGTCCTTGCCTGGGCTTGGGACAAAGACCGAGGGCTGATCCCCTGTCATCACCTGCCCAGCACTCTGTGGGCCCTGTATTTCATAATCCAAATCCCCAAAGCACTTTCCAAATGTGTCATTAATGTCTCAGGGGTCCTTTGAGTGACACACCTATTCTCAGAGATTGCTTTAAGTCACTGTGAGGATCTGGTCAGTGTCCTTCCATTTCTACTTTGCATTAACATGAGCCCCCCCAAAATATGTCCTGATTATCACAATTTAGTTTATGCTCAAGACATCTGCTTCTGAGGGAAATGGAATTTGACATTTAAAAAAAAAAAAGCCCTGTTTTCACAGTGCAAAGGAGCCAATAAATGTGTTTTCAGGTACCATCCACGCATTCTGAATCAAAGCATACTCTAATATATTCAATAAACACTAATTAAGCTGTAACACCTCTGAAGGCGGTAAACACTCCCTTGGTATTCCAGGAAACTGAGAGACCTTTTCGTACTCCCCACAAACACCTTTCCCTGTGCCCAGCCCTCATCCACCCACCACAGCAACTATACCATTCCTCGGTGCCACTGACAAATGAAAGCCTGAGCCAAATTATTACCGCTGACACGATGAATGTGAAAAGTGAATACAGAAACGAGAGAAAAAAGTTATCTTAAAAATCAAAACTCATGAGATAACAGCAGTAAGGGTAAAGCCCTCAATAAAACACCCTCAACAAATTTGTTCTCCATGAAATAAAGACGTGTGCCCTGGAAAGTTTTGCACTTCAAAGATTAGCAGGTCCATTCAAATAAGAATTATGGCACCAAGTTTACTAGTTTATAGCTCTAGCTTACTGGTCCCACAGTAAAAATGACAGGCACCAACTTGAATAAGGAAAAAACAAATAATATAATAGACAAAACTGGGAAGAACCACTTTAGCAGGGTCACTGAGGTTGGGACAAAAGCAAAGGATTTAAGGCCAGAAACATCTTCAATTATTTAAGTATTTCATATAAGGGCAAGTGAATTAAGTTCCCTTCCATTATTTAATGTTTGTTGTTTTTTATTTTTCCAGAAAGAGGAAACTGAGGCCTGGGGACTCCAGGAACTGGCCCGAAGCCCTGAAGCCCTGGTTAATAACAGACCAAGCATGGGAATTAACTGCACATTTAGAACTGCTTCCTCGGCTGCTTTCTCCACCACTGTCCACGAGAATGATAATCACTTACGACAGTTTTATGGGGGGCAGGCATGGAGGCAAAGGCAGGTAAAAAGCCTGAAACTAATTGATAGCAGAAAGAACCAGAGGGCTCTGAACCACCTCACCCAAGACAGAGTTCCTTGAGAAGAAGTGATTTGGCGAAACCATTTCAATCCTCAGAACATTATGGGTAGCCTGAAAATATGCAGATAAACACACGAAAATTCGTTCAAACGACTTCCTTCATTACTCACTTTCCAACCAAGATTCTCTTGGAAGAATTCTCAGGCCTTCTTTTCCAAGCAGAGGGACTAGTCTTGTGTCAGGGCCCTTTGAGTACAGAGCCCAGGAATCCAGGATGGGGAAGAAGCTCGGCGGAGCCCTTCTGGACACTCAGTTTGGCGTCTTTGCACCTGCCCTCAACAAGAAGGCAGTGTGAGTCTAGACAACTGTCATGTATCCATGTACACGCAAAGTTCACTAGTTTCCGAGGTGCTCATCCAGCACTTGCCCGAGTTGGGGGGGAGGGGCCGGAAGAAGGGAGGGGAAATGGGCGAGTGGAGCCCTGAAGGACTCTGACCAGGCTGGTTACGACGTCGTCGCTTTAAACATTTCGGTCAATAGGCTTTCTGCATGCCACATCTTCATCGAAATCCCATCATCAAAGCCACCAGACACTATATTTGTTTTCTAATTACAGACCCCGAGCTAACACTTACTCTTTCTTCCCTATAATAACAACAACACTTTGTATTTATCTAGCGCCTGCCTTTCTTCTAACAAGCTCAAGACGGGGTGCAGACATTAACTCTTGAACCCCAGGCTGGATCAGGGGTGACTTTCTGTTTCTACATTTTGAAGGTTTAAAAAAAAAAAAAAGACAAGAGAGTAGCCAAGACGGTGACAGGGTGAAGGACAGGGTGATAGGTTGACTTTGGCCTTGAAGTAATGGTACCTCTTACCCCATCCAGGGGGTTGACTGTGGTCAGACAGGCAAACAGTCAGAGAACATCTCCAATGGCGCAGATGATGTGTAAGGACAACACTGGAAGCCAGAGAGGCCAGTTAGGAGCTGTCACAACATTTCAGGACCATTGTTTTAGTGGTCTGGCTGTAAGAAAAGACAAAGGTGAGTTCCTCTAAAGGTGGAATGCATCTAGGATTGGAGTAGAGGAGACTGCTGGAGTCTGTATGAATGCCACTCTCCAGCTGAGCAGAAAGCGGTCACATTGTGGAAGCAAAGGAGGCCTGAGGCATTAAAAATAGGAAAGTAGGTTCGGGAGACTGAGGATAAGAACAGGAGACTGCCTTAGTCACCTAGGTTATGATGGAGTTCACAGGGGCAAACTTTCAAAGCCCTCCTTTCCAGCTGCCTTCATCCGAGTGACATTTCCTCCTCTTGTCCCCAGGCCACATGTGAGTCTTTGTTAAAGAACTCACTGATTAACTACCCATCACACTAAAGACACTCCATTCCATACCCCAATAAAAAATAGAAATGGTTTTCTGTCATGAAGGTTAGCGTCTAGTCATCTCTGCATTCTTTCCTAAATATTTGTCTCTGATTGATTACCTCTTCTTGAGGCTTAGAAGCAATTGACACTGAAGTGAGCCATTCTACATTTTCCTCTTCCGTCTACACCAAAGAAATGTCTTGCCAGTGCTCTCCACGCATTTCCCCTGGTTCCCTTACTTTCTCAAAGACGCCAAAGCGTGTGAGAGGTGACATCATGGAATGTGGCTTACAGTTCTCGGGATGTGCCTTGCCTGGGACTGGAGAGGACATGACCCCAGAAGTGACACATGACACCTTTTTGTTTCTTTTCCAGGCTGGCCAGTTCACAGGGATTTTTTTTTTTTTCTTTCATAAAATACATAGAGTCAACATAGGAGTCAGCCCCCCCCCCATTTGCATTGCTTCTTATGACATAGAAGCACAATGGAGAGGGGAGTTATGGGTAGATTGCTATTTCCCTAGACTGCACCTATCATGGTTTGTGATGAAATATTCATTTGAGTCTTAATTTCTTAGTCGCTGTCTCCTCCGTCAGACCAGAGGATCCATGAGGGAAGGAACATGTTTATTTTATTCTCTCGTATCTATCCAATCCTAGCTGTTGAATAAGTAAGTTCCTGTTTAAATATTGCCTTAAATGTGTCATCCAACATCAAGCTCATAGACCTGACTCCCAACACAACAGCCTCCTTATAAAAAACACCTGTCACCACGAACAGAAAGGCTGTGGGGAGCTCCGCTCTCCTGCAAGGCAGGACTATGTCTTTGTCCCACCTAGGGACGTTCTTGCTGCCACAAGTGAATCAGACCTGAATGTTCACCGAAAGTAACAGCGAAGAGTATCCAGCAAGCTTTTGCTTCAGTGGCCCAGACAATGACTGTTCTAATTATACGAACTATATGATCTCTACCACACCGTCCAATTCTGCAGTTTGCTCATGAGAGCAGCCACGGACAATTACGTGAACAAACAAGTACGACTGCTTCAATAAAACTTTACAGAAATACCCAGTGCCTGTAGTTCGCCAGCCCCTGAGGAGAACAGTAACGGAATACAAAGAGCCCATGCTTGTCCACAAAGTATGGCTGCCCTGCCTGAGATGGACCTGAGACTGCTGGGTGAAGCAAGGCTTACTGCTTACCAGTTTCAAGTTGGACATATTTGTGGGATCCAAAGGACTTCTGCTCAATTTGACTCCGAATAGAACAATCTCAAAGGCCCATAATGGTGGCTAATGCCAGGAGGAGATCTGTAAATGTACGCAGAAAGGAAAGTGCTATAGCTTTGAGGTAGAGGAGACACTATGCTGTCAACAGGACCACCTGATCTTGTCGTTCACCCCACAAGGATGTGTGATCTGCTCCCCGTGGGTGCTAGACACTGGGCTTCAGCGGTGAGCAGAAAATGTAAATCCTGATCTTTCTGGAGCCACAGTGGACAAGAAAGGGAGGCAGTATGTGGTCAATGCCCTTAGGGAACAAATACCAACTGCTGTATGACACAGAGGAGGGCTGGGCTTGAGCTTGGAAGTTAAAGGCTGTGGACTGGATGCCTGTGCCTCTTAAAACTCCACCCTTGAAGTCCCAATCCTGCATAGGATGGCAGTAGAATGGGGGGCGGGGGTTGAGGAGAGGTAATCGTGTCATGAAGGTGGAACCTTCTGATATGAGCCCAGAGTAGAGTTATGAAGACACCCCAAAGAGTTTTCTTGCCTCTTTCTATCACATGAGAATAATACACGAAGTCTGCAGTCTATACCCTGAGAGTCCTCACTGGAACCTGCCTTTGCTGGTAGCCAGCCTCCAGAACTGTGAGAAATAGCTTTCTGTTGTTTAGAAGCCACACAGCCTATGGTACTTTGTTATAGCCACCCAAGCAGACTAAGACACCTGAAGAAGTAACACCAAGGTGAAATTAAAAAGCGATCCCCTCAGATCAAAAATCTTGATATAGCCAAATATGGAAGTCTGAGTCCACTGTTCATTCTAGACCAAAAGCTTTAGGACTTATGTGGCAAGCTTGGGAGCCAGAACGGGGCCACAGCTCAAAGGACACTGTCATGGTCATACCACAGGAAACGTGAATGAGTCCTCATTCAGACCTTCAGCGAGCCACAGGGCCAGGTCAATGAGGATGGCGACGCGGAAATTACATCCAGAACTGTGTTGTTGTTTGTTGGCCTCATTTTGGTGCCCACCTCGGTCCTTTTCACTATGCTCACTAAAACAAGCCGACTTCTTAGTGCCCATCATCCATCACTGTGTGTCTGAGCCTCTACTTAGGGTTTCCAAGATGTTAATCAGCTTGATTACTCTGAGAGCAT